GTGGGGGGGGGGAGAACTTCCCAACCAACAAGAAACATGCTGGCTGGTCCCCTCTGTTCTCAAATCAGCCACCACGAGGTTGTTAGGAAGTAGATCACAATTCATATGATGCCTTGAAACGATGGTGCTGAAGACAAGGACTGAATACTCCAGCACCAAATACTCCAGGACCGACAGAGGAACAGACAAAACTTTCCTGAAGGAAGTGCAGCCAGGAGCCGCTCAGAGGCCAGGAGAGGAAGGCTTCCTCTCACACACTGCGGACATGTGACTGGGAAAGGCCAATCCTTGGAAAAAGATGTCATGCTGGAAATGGGGGAGGGTCAGAAAAAGAGAGGAAGACCCCTAATGAGATGGACAGACGGACACAGTGACAGAAACAGTGGGCTTTGAAGACAAAGAATGGGGCAGGGTTTCCATATGCTGTTCATTGGATCACTAGGAGGCAAAACTCATCCCACAGCACCTAAAACGAAATAAAATTGGAGACGTCACATCTGTCCCATGTGTGGATAGATTTTACCTGAAATTGACAGCGCCATATCCTCTTGGGGCGATGGAGACAGAACAGCCATGCCTCATTGCCCAGCTGTTTCTGAATCAATCACTCCCTCTCCGCCTGCTGCATGGAAGGTTCACACGCCAACTTTCTTCTTGTCACCCAAGGCCACAGATAACTCCCACAGGGCCAACAGGACACAGGGAGGCCAGGAGGTCTCTGGGAATTGACATCGGGGCAGGATGGGGGCGGAGAAAGCTCCCCCAGGGCCCCAAGGGTGGACACACCATGTGGGATATGTCCATGGGAACGAGGCTGGGAGGTGGCATTTCAGCAGAACAGAATTTTGATCTCATCTTACATGAGAGCACTTCCTCTTATCTCCAGCAAGGTTCTAAGGGAAACAGCTTTATTTCCGTGGTCTGTTTCCTGCCTCTGACCCCAAATCAAGGACAAAGAGGAATTGAAGCTGCCTAAACAAACCCTTTGAGGAGAGAAGAGCTGGAGCAAAGGAGGAGGGGAGAGAAATGTGATCCAGAGTCAACTCCCCGGTGACTCAGAAGCTCAGGCCTCCGAGCACCCGCATATAACCTGCAACGCCATCTGATTTTTCCTTACTTTTCTTACCTTATGTGACTCACTGAAGACCATCAATCTTTCTCTGGAGTTGAATGCGCTTCTGTCATGTTGCGTTTCACACAAATAACAAGCATGCTAAACAGTGGTTTGCAAGCTATGTAACCTACTCGCCTGCTAGTTTTCTATGCAGGCTAAGTGAATTATATGGGTGCATTCCTTATTTCCATGGGCTCTCTACATGCACAAATACGGTAATCCGCTTGAGATAAGCCTTCCTGGTGTTAATTATGTGCAGGGCCTCCTGGTGTTATCTCTCTGGACCCCCCTGGTGGATGGATGACTTAACTCCTGGCTCCGGGGACAGTCTGCAGAATGGGGCTTCTTGGGGAGGAGGCTTGGGATTCCTTTCTTTTTGCCCCAGAAGCACAGACACCAACTGCTGTATCTCTAATGGTAACTCACAAGCTTCTTTTTTTAAAAAATTATTTTATATTGGTTTGCATACTATGAGTTGTAGTCGACTCAATGGCACGTAACAACAGCAACATTGATTTGCATACAAAATTTGTATACATTGTGTCTCACACTATCTTTCATTCACATTGTGTTACATACAATCATTCCCATACATTGTGTTTTATAAAATTAATCACCATTGAACTATCCCCACCCTTACTCATCTTTTCAGATCTCTGCCAGATCGTTCTCATTTCCTTAACTGCCTCCCTCCACCCACCAAATTGTGCAACTCCCTGATTTCCCTCTGCCCATCCTCACCCCTCTGCTCCCACTCCTTCCCCACTGGAGACCCCCACCCATGTTTTACTCGTTATCCTTCCATTTTTACAATAATGCAAATATGCAGTATTTGTCCTTATGAGACTGAGTTCACTCAGCATAATGCTCTCGAGTCTCTCACATGTTATGTAGTAATTTTCTAAATCGTTACTCCTCAGTGCTGCATAGTATTCCATTCTGTGAGTATACCACAATTTCTCAATCCATTCAATTGTAGTTGGATATTTGGGATGTTTCCATGTTCATGAAATGGTGAATAATGTTGTTATGAACATTGGTATAAAAATCTCTGTTTGTCTCTGTTCTAATTTCCTTGAAGTATATTCTTAGCAGTGGAATAGTTGGGTCATATGGAATTTCTATGTTCAGTTTTTTGAGGAAACACCAAACTGGCTTCCAGAGTGGTTGCACCGTTTTACAATCCCACCAACAGTGTATGAGAGTTCCTATCTCACCACATCCTCTGTAACATTTATTGCCTCCTGTCCTGTTAAACTTTGTCACTGGTACTGGGGTGAGAGGGTAGGTATCTCATCATGATTTTGATTTGCATCTCTCTTATTGCCAGTGATTTTTAGCATTTCTATATATACTATTGACCATCTGAATGTCTTCTTCCATGAAAAGTATTTCCATGTATTTAAACTTTTTTTTTTATTTACACTTTTAAGCAAGCTTTTAAGACCCCCCCAGACACTGCTCACCAAACTAGGATGTGGACCTTAATTTTATAAACTCTTTTATGTCAATAACTTACAATGTCTGATGAGATTATGGTCCTAAGCCCTCAACAGAAAACCACACTCCAAGAAAAGAAGCCTCTTTCCCCCATATCACAGAAGTCCCAGGGGCGGGGGTGGGAATCAGCCCCCATCCCCCACTCCATAAGCACCATGCTACAGCTCCACATTTCTATAGTTTCTCACAGTCAGGTTAGGATCAGCCTATCAGGCCTCTGGGGGCCCCGGGATGAAAGGCTGAGCCTTCAGTTTATTCTTTCTGCAGCACTGCACCAGCAGAGGGACCAGGCACAGCAACAGGCTTTTAGCACTGAAATAGTTCAAAGAAATGTGTATGAATACTGTGACTGTCTCTATTGTTGTATCGCTGAACCAGAACAGACACAGAGCTGACCTCTGGTGGGTTCTCTGAGGCAGCAAACAGCACGGCAGGAGAGTGTCCATCAACCTCCTGCAGGGCAGCTGGTGGATTTGAACCTTGTGCTTTTGGGGTGGCACCTCACCATTTGGCCACCAGAGCTCCCTATAAAACACTAGTCACTCTAAAACCAGTCATACTACTGGGGTGTCCTGGGGGTCTCGGCTGGCGTAGCCCACAGGGAGCTGCGTGCTGAGCCAAGACCAGCACCCCTCTGGTGGTTTGGAGCCACCAGTGGTCCGGGGGGAGAAAGGTGAGCATCTCCTCTCATGGGATTTACAGCCTCTGAAACCTACTGTTCTGTCTTTGGAACAACGGGGCGGCGGGGGTGGGGGTGGGGGACACACGACTTTCTGGCCTGCCCTCCATTCTTGAGTGTCCCTGTCTCTGTCTTTTCCCTTGGCCTACAACAGGGAGGGGTGACTCAAATGCTTACATTTCAAAAACTAGAGAGCTGCCTAAGGTATCAGGCACATTATGGACCGTGAAAGGAAGAAACGGGGATCAGTATCAGAAGAAGTAGAACCAGAATGTTTCCTAGAAGTGTGGACTCGTTTCTGTGGACTCATTGCCCTTGGACATGCCCCAGGGAGGACTAATCAACAGACAATGCACATCACGGCTGATGGAGAGTCAGGAGAACCAATGGAGCCTCAGGAAGATGAAGTGGCACTGCAATGGCACAAAGAACTCAACCAATCAACGCTCAGGAAGACGAGGCGGGACTCACACACCATCCTGAGTCGGAGCCAACTTGAGCTCAGCCAGCAACGATATCACCACCATGATGTCTAGTCCCAAAGGATCGGGGATTTATGGCTTGTTCTCTAGTCTGTACTTAATGAAGAACATAAAGCAAGCATTTGGAGGTTTTAGGAGGGAACTTCTCCCAACATTCCTCAGGGTGTCCTGTCTAGACTGTAAGTGGTCCAGCGATGTCTTCAGAGAGGCCAATAATCATCAGAGTCGATAAAGAAACAAAGCTGGGAAGAAAGAGGACCTGGAAGAGCATCCACTCTTCCTACACGGGCCACAGAGATGAAGCCAGAACAGAAATCACTGTTGATAATGCCATTAAATACAGCAGTTATTCTCAATATCTTCCTCCTGGAGTCTGGGATGAATTTAGTAACAGTTTCTTCCCCTACTGGGAATAGCACACCCAGCACCCTAAGATCTTGGGGTTCCTCGGCGATATCAAGTAGCCGAAGGCGCGGCACACTTGTACCCAGGATCCCAAGGACAGAGACCCTATGTTCTTCCAGACTCCCCTGAATTTCATCAGACCAGGGAGCCTGCATGCTGCCGACACCTCGTTTTCTCTTTTGAACTTTATGTTGTGATTTGGGTGAAAGTTTGCAGAGAAAACTGGTTTTCCATTCAATCAACCACAGACGTTTGGATTCAGGCACTAGCTGCAGTCCCCACAGGGTAACAGCACTCTACCTCTTCCTTGCTGTGCGTACAGTTTTCACTCATCCTCTCTTACCTTCTCTGCCTTCTGAGCGCTCTTCCTGGGCCAATGCAGCCCTTTGGATCGCATACAGTTGATTGTTCTAAGCCGGCATATCTCTAGAGGTATCATGCATCTCATAGGCCTAGCCGTTGTTTGGCTGAAAGTTGAACCACAAGGGTGAATTTGGCTCCTGGCTTAAAGGGGATCTAAGGGCATGGTTTGGGGTTCTACCAGTCTCTGGGCTGCAAATAATTAGGAGGAAATGCTGAGCCTGTCTCTTTGAGGCCCTGGTCACTGGTGTTGCACTAACCAGGCAGAGAGCTAGCCAGTCAGGCCCCATGTTCTGGAATCCTCGGTCACCAGCTTCCTGGGTGGTCATCAACAAAGCTTTCCTCTCCTGGGACTGTAGAGTCTCAACTGCAGAACCAGGGGCTCAGGAAGGATCACCCCCAAGCCCACTGCCCCTCTAGGGGCCTCTGACCACCGGTGTGATGATTTCCTAGTACCTACCTGCTTCTTGGTCACGGTGCCATCTACAGGGTCCACGTATTCAAAGCTATCTGTCTTGGCCACGCTGTAGACGTGGCTCCCCACCGCGAACTGCTGGCCGATGAAGGACTTGTCCGTGACCAGGGCCTCCAGATCCCTCATGATGTAATACGTCATCTTCGGTTCCAGCCCTTCATAGTCAAACCTGTCAAGGAAGCAAGACGCAGGGTGAGCAAAAACCCAACCAGAGGAGCAGCCATCACAGACCACACAAGGTCCTCTCAGAGTCCTCATATGGTCAAGTCTACACGGCCCACAGCAGCACTGCTGGACAGAGCAGGGCGGCCGCACAGGGTTTCCAAGACCGTAAGTCTTTATAGAAGCAAGCTTTGTCCCCTGGAGCAGCCAGAGGATTTGAACCATTGACCTTTTGTTTTGCGATCATGCTCTCCAACCACTCTGCCTCCAGGACTCCTTCCAGGTCCCCTAATCCAGGAGGAGCTTAAAAAACACACACAATACAAAACAATGCAGATAAAACAAATGAGACATTAGAGGCTCTGGATAAACAAGAAACTGCAATCCAAACTACGAGGACCAATGTTTCAGATGCTGTCAACAGGATGGAGGGTCACATGAACAGGGTTGAAGAATGGAACACAGAACCAGTGAGATAGAAGCTAGAACTGTCACCACTGACCTGCTAGAACAAAAAGCAGAATCAAAAAGGGAGGAAAAAGAAGAAAACCTAAGAATAACATGGGACACCATCAAGAGAAATAACATATGCATCATTGAAATCCCAGAACAGGAAGAAGCAAGTAAAGGCACCAAATAAGTTGTGGAAGAATTACTAGAAGAAAATTTGCCAGGCATAATGAAGAATGAGAGAATGAATATTCAGGCTTTGTTTTCAGGGAAGGACTCAGTCAAGCACCCCAATGGGTCCTCCAAAACCCACCAGCCCTGATATTCCATCCTCATTCAGCAGACAGAGGGGTCTTTAATGTCTCCTGTCACATGTCCATCACCTGAACAGCAAAGTCTCAAACCCCAAGTACAGTCCACAGAGGACTGCTGACCTGGTGTTGTCACTTCCTCGCCTGGACCTTGTCCGCTATGCCCTGGCCCACTATACTTGGCCCCACTGGCCACCGGGACTCCTCTCTCAGGCCTTTGTCCTTACTTCTCATTCGCATCTGGTCTTCCCCTAGCCGTTCAGACAGCCCTTCCCTCACTTATCCTGCCAAGTTCACCTCTAGAGTGGCCATCTCTGACCCTCTTTCTGAGGGAACCTCCTGTATCCACCCACTACTCTCTCCATCTACTTTGAGGAGGTGTCCACTCTGTGTTTCTCTTGTGTGGGTGTTTGTTAACCTACTCATTGTCTGTCTTCATCTGGGAGAATGGCTCCAGGAGGACAGATGTGGCTTTCTTGTTTGTTGTGGCTTCTGATGCATAGCAAGTGTGGTGGGTAGGGAAGTGGAGAGAGCATGGGAAGGACGGAAGGAGGGAGGGAGATGGGAGGGGAGGGAGGAAGAAATGGAGGCAGGGAAGGAGAACGTAAGGGGGAGAGAAACAGGGAGAGAGAGGGAAGAATGGGTGCATGGAAAAAAGGAAGAAAGATGGGAGAGAGGAAGGATGGAAGAAAGAACAAGGGAAGGAAGGAAAGTGGGCAGAGAGGAAGGGAAAGAGGGAGGATGGGAGGATGGATGGATGGATGGATGGATGGATGGATGGATGGAAAGGAGGCGGCCGAATGGATGGGAAGGAGGAAGGTCACATGGATGGGGAGAAGGCAAGCTGGATGGATAGGAAGGAGGGAGGCTGGATGGCTGGGATGGAGGAAAGGGAGCAAGAAAGGAAGAAAAGAATGAAGGAAGAGGGTGGAACAGAGGAAGGAGAGGCATGGATGGAAACGGGTGAGGAACGATGAGAGGGAGGAGTGAAGAAGAAAGAAGGAAAGTGTGGCAGTGGGGGAAAGTGGAGGGAAAGAAGAGGGGAAGGAATAAAGCAGGAAAAGAGGTGGAAGAAGAAACCAGAGGAGGCAAAAGGAGGAGCGAGTGAACTCTACAGACCCTGAACTTGCCAAGACATGAGAAGGAATGTTGTGATTTTGTTCCATTGAAAAAATTCTCCAAAGCATCAGCGCAGGAGGGCTGGGAGAGAGTACAGGACCACTTCAGTCCTGCTCAGGGACTCCAGACTCTCCTCAACACCAGCCATTCTGGGAAGGTGGCTTCCCACCCATCAGAAAGCAGAAGGGAAGCTGGAGGAAGAACTTCAGCAGGAGTTTGGGTGCTGGAAAGACGGGCAAATGCACAACAGTGATGCCAGCAAGGCGGGTCTGCAGGTGAGGTCAGGGGACCTGCCTCACTCAGCGGTCATGTTCACACACACTCCGGTCCTTGCCCCTTTTTTCAGAAACTCTGCCCAGGCCCCC